GGGGGGCGCGGCGGGTGGCTCCGTGGGGCCGCACTGGCTGTGCAGGTAGGAGAAGGCTTTTTGGGCCGACGACTGCAGGCTGCTCTTCTGCCCGGAGGAGATGGAGGGGTACGGGTGCACCAGGGTCTTGGGCTGCTCCGCTCCCAGCAGGGCAGGGACCGTCGGGGATTTCAACGAGACGTGGGGGTACATGAAGACGTACGGTGCTGTCTCCTGGCTGGGGGTCTGGGGAGGAGTACAGGGGGTGACCGCTGGTGTCCCGGTGCCTTTCTGAGCCACCGGCCGGGCGTACTGATCCGTGCCTTCGGGCAGGTTCCTCTCCTTGAGCGGGCTGCCCCCGCCGCCATTGGCAAAGCCGTTCAGCCCCTCAGGGGAGACGAGCTTCCCGTAGGGCTCGGGACTGGGCCGTCCCGGCAGGTTGGCCGGGCTCTCCTTGCTGCGGGGCGGCGCGCAGGACTGCCCGCTGCTGCTGCTGCTCTCCCCACTGCCCAGGCTCTCCTGCGAGGGGCTGGAGAGATGCCGGGACAGCACGTTGTCCTGCGAGTGCCCTGAGCCCCGGGACCGCACCCCGATGCTCTCCTGGCTCCGTGACATCCCCTGGCTGCTCTTGATGCCAAGCGTCTCGTGGCAGCTGTTGGACATGGCTGTCTGGAGCTCGTAGCTGAGCTCACTGTCCTGGAAGGTCGTCATTTTAGGGGTGTGCGGGGACTGGCACTCCCCGTTCTCCAGCGACTCGATGGTGACAATGTCCAGGGCACCAGGGACTTTGCGTCTTGCCAGCGTTGCTTCTGCTTGATTGAGGCTTTTGCGGAGGTCTCTGAGCTTCTTGACGGCCAACATGATCTTCTTCTGGTGACCTGCAGGAAGGTTGCAACAGGAAAGGGGCGTTAGGTCGGCTCTGGCCCCCAAGGCCTTTGTTTCCTGGCCAAGAAGAGTCATGGTCACGTCACCAACCAGGGCAAAGGCCTCTGGGTTATCCAAACCCTGCCTATGGGAGGAGACAAACTATGGCTGGCATCCGCCTGGCTCAGCCCGGCTCCAGCCTGCCAAGGGCAGTCCTTAGGGACAGCCATGAACTGCCCTTTCCAGGTGCTCAGGACATGCCTGCACCTCCCAGCCTGAGGGAGAACGGGGTGTGGGGACCTGGGTGGGAAACTTGGCTGCCCTGGGCCACCCCAGCACAGTAGCATGGACTCACCCAGCTTGTTGATGCCGATCTCTTGCAGATCCTCCCACGTCAGGTCCGTCACGATGGTGATGGAGTCATAGCCATTGTTGACCAGCTTTTTGTGGTACTGAGGCAACCCGATGGCACTGAGCCAGTCCATCAAGTCAGCCTGCCAAGAGCACGGAGACGCTGCCATGAGCATCGAGGCACGGGCAGCACCTTCATCCATCCTCTCCCCCTGTCCCTGGCCATGAGACTGCACTTTTGGGGTCTCTCTGACTGCATTAACACAGCCCATTGTGGCACGCGCTTACTTACAGACCCCACTCCTGTCCTGTCCTGGGGTAAGACAGCTCTGAGAAAAGACCTGGGGAAAAGAAGGTGCCAGACCAAAGGCCCAGTGCCAGGGACTCACCGGGATGTAGTTGGGCAGCCACTCGGCGATGCTGAGCTGCCCGATCTCAGTGGAGATCTTTTTCCTGTGGCCAGGCTTGGTCACGCCGATGGCTGTCAGATCCTAATGTAAGCAGAGTGGGGCCGTGGTCAGCGGTGGCGCGGGGAGTGTGGGGTTCTGGATAGGGTGGGGAAGGACCTGCCTTACCTCCGGGGTCATGCGGCTGATGGTGGGGACATCGTAGCCAGCGTTGAGAAAGTTGGCGGTGTACGACTCCAGCTGGAACTCACTCAGCCAGTTGTAAATGGCTTCTGCATCCTGGGGAGAGGACAGAGCAAAGAGGAGCCCATGACGGTGGCTGCAGGGGCTGGAAGGACCTGGCTGCTCCAGGCAAGACGACAGGATCTCCTCAGGCGAGACCCACATGTCCCCAGTGTTCTCAAGACCCAGTCCCCTCTGTCCCCAGTGCACCGAGAGCTGGGCCAAGAGCCCCAAGTGTGGCCCTCTCACCCGGCACACCAGGTCCGCAGTTGGCACAGTTACCTTCCCCTCGAGGAGCTGCTCGGGGCGCAAGAACTGATGGGAGAAGACCCTGTCCCCAGGGGGGCAGCTGCCTGGGGTCTGGTGGCTCTGGGGCCCTGGCAGAAAGGAGAGAGAACTGTCATGGGGGCACTTAAGCAATGAGCAGCCCCCAGTGCCCAGGGGGGAGAGCTGTCCCCAAGGCCCCATTGAGTGGGGACATCCCTCACCTGCCGGGGAGGTCAACTGCCCATTGCGTGGCTCCGATCCCAAAAGGTGTTGCTGGAGGTCGTCACCAGCGGAGGGCAGTGGCTGGGGGAGAGGAGGAGAGAGCGGAGAGAGGACCTCCAGAGACAAGCCCTGTTGCACCCCCAGGAGCAGAGGGGGGGCCCCATGCTGGGCTGCTGGGCACAGCTTCACCCAGTGAAGGGCTGGCCCCTAGCAAGAGATCTGGGCAGGATTTGGCCCAGGGGCCTTTTTGTCCTCCTAGATGAGGCAGGACACAGTGGAGACACCGCGTGGTACCAACCACAGCCTCCAGCTCCACTCAAAAAGGCCAGCTGTGCTATGGGGGGGCAACTGGGGACGCCCCAGGAGCATCTTCCTCCTGAGTCCTGGTAGGACATAGGTGTTTGGTGGAGGATGCTCAGCTCCTGCAGCCCCTCCTTCACTAGGGAAGGTGCTGGGGCTCCATCTCCAGCCTGAGCCAGGCCTGGGGGAGCAGCAGGGGGCAAGCAGGGGCTGGTACCTACCCTGGCGTTCTCGATGAGGATGCTGGTGCTCTGCCCGTTGGCGCCCTCAGTGCTCTGGCCGCTGCCGGCACTGCGGAGTGGCCCTCGCTGCCCACGCTGTTCCTGTCTCCTGCTGCTTGGGGCAGGTGAGGAGGCCGTCAGCGGTGCCCCGGGATCGGGGCCGACACAAGGCACAGAGGTCCCCAGTAGGGACCCGTGTGCCAACACAGTGATGCCAGTAAAAACCAGCCTCCCACAAGATCCCTCTGGCCACAGACGATGCATCGGTCCCTCCCGCCTCCCGGAATACACGGCACGGACAGGGTGACCCGGGCTGGCAAGGGGACACGGGAACGTGGCCTGGCTGAGGACATGGGGAGGGGAAGGGGCTGCTCTATGGGCTCCCCTAAACTCCCTTTCCCTCTCGTCTGGCTGTTTTCCCATCGGGAGATGGAAGGAGAGTCTCCCCCCATGTCCCCCTGCACGGGCAGGGCTGGGGACAGGGGAAGGTCCCCAGCCCCTCTCCCTCCCCAGCTGCACCCCTGACCTGAGCTGTCAGGGCACGGGGCCGTCCGGGTTAGAGTGAGGTGGCCATAGACTGCTGGGACGCTCGGGGCTGTCTGGAGAGGACACTCGTCGGGGAGGTGCTGCAGCCCACCAGGGGGGACCGGGAGGGCCCCAGGGGGACCCTGGTGCTGGTGCGCGGGCGCCACGCGGGGGACAACCATGCCTGCATTCAAAGACAAAATACGCGTGGTCAGAGCTCGTGTGGAAGGCAGGGCGGGGGGGATATCTGAGCCTCAAGCCCCAAATTACCACCCCACCGACGGCACAACCCTCTGTGCCCACCCAAGTCCTTCTCTGCCCCCTAGCTAGCCAGGGCTGTGGGGACCTGTCCTACAGGAGGTGCTGGGAAGGCTGGGATGGTTTCACACAGGGGACTGTCCCTGGCACGCCCAGGATGGCCACTGACCTGTTCGCTTACTGATGACTTCAGCGATGGAGGGGGGGAAGTACCCGACCCGATCGGTGCCTTTCTGAGTGTCGTGGATGTGCCCCTTCCACCGCCCATCTGGATGCTGCTCCAGGACCTGCCGCGGGGACGAGAGGGATGGGGTTGGTACCTAGGGCCATGGCGGGGCAGGAGGAGGGGGAGCAGGGAGCAGCCTCACCGTGATGACATCTCCTGCCCGGACGTTGAGAGCAGTTGGGTCATGAAGGTTCCAAAAATCCTTCAAAGCTCGGACCTTCAGGATTCCTGATGCCTCTGAAGACAAGGGACAGAGGGAAGAAAGAAGGTGCCAGAGCGCAGGGGGAAAGAGAGCAGTTCAGGGAAGGTAGAGAGAGAAAAGAAGAGCGAGGAGAAGGGAGAAGAGAACATTAATACTGCAGGAAGGACACAATTGCTGGACGTTGCCTGCAAGGAGGATGGGGGCACATATTGATGGGACTGGGATGCTGACGTTCGCAGCCAGGCTGGTTTAGGTCGTTCAGGAGGAGCCCTGGGAGCCCCAGGCAGGTCCCATGGGGAAGAAGCCCCTCTCAGTGGCAGGCAGTGCCTGGCCATGCACCGGCCCCACCTCACCTCTCAGCAGCTGCTTGATGTCTTTGCTGGCGTGCGAGGTGGTGAACTGGTTCACGATGTCCAGTGCTGTCTGGTTGTAGGTGTTCCTGATGTTCACATCAACGCCGCCCTGCTCAGTAGGGGACGTAGTCAGGGCTGGACTCACAGGGGATGGAGGGACCGAGGGGAAGGGGGTAATGGCTGACCCTGAGGGGGTTGTCCCCCTGTGCAGCCCCGTCCCCACCGTGCTCACCTCCAGCAGCAACCGCACCACCTCTGTTTTGCCGTAGAGCGCAGCCTCATGCAGGGCTGTGCCCGTCTTTGTCTGCTTGTTGATCTCGATCCCGGCCTTCAGCAGCTGCCTGTAGGAAGGAGGGAGAGGCATGAACGGCAGGACATGGGCATCAGGGACGGGCGATCAACTGCTTTGCGATGGGAAGGGGACAACCCCTTACACCGCTGAGGCTTTGGGGACGAGGGATTGAAGCCTGCAGCAGGGAGGTGGGTTTGGGAGGAAGCAGGACTGAAGACATGGTGGGGGTTTTTGGGGGATGGGGCAGCGTCCCAGGCTGGCGGGGGGTTACCTGATGATCTCCTTGTGCCCGTTCTTGGCTGCCAGGTGCAGGGGGGTGGTGTAGTTGGGGTCGGTGGCATCCTTGGACTGTCCCTCCAGGAGGGCGACGCACAGATGGCTGTTCAGCAGCAGCTGGGCCACCTGCACGGGGCACAGGGGTGAGGAGCCGGGTACAGGTACCCCCATCTGCATCCTCCCGGCGAGGGGCTCGGCCTCGGGGCTGCCCCCCTGCTCCCCATCCTGCCACTGCCCTCCCTCCGCAGCCCCAGGGCTCGGCCGGAGCCGGCCAGTGTTTGGCAGGGTCACACTGTCGCGAGGGGCCGTAAAAGGTCACAACAGCCAGAAATAGCCTTCCCGTAATCGGGCTGTTCAGACCAAGCCCTAAAAAACTCCAGTCTCTCCAAGCCCAGAGCGACTCTCAGCATCTCAGGGCAGCCCAGAGGCACAGAAGAGTTATTTTTACTGCCCTGTTTATAGCTGCAGACATTATAGATACTCCAAAAATGGAAATATCCCCCTGGTCCCCTCCCCGTGGGGCATGGGACGGTCTGGCTGGCCACACTCCAGCCCAGCCCTACGGTGCGGTACTGGCTGGGCTGGGGTCTCCCGGGCCATGGGGCAGCCCCATCCCCCTAAATTGTGCCGGGCACCTCGAGCATCTGAGCAGGGCCGGGCACTCAGGGCTCGCGGGGATTAGCCAGCTCAGCCTATCTGTGCTTAAACAGGAGCAAAGCTGGGGCGGGCAGGAGGGAGGCCGTGGGAAACCGGGAATGAAAGCTTCCGGTTTCTCTCCCAGCCTGACGCTGCGCTGCCGGAAGGTCAGGAGCAAAACCTGCAGCTCCCAGGTTCAGGATCTGGCCTTGCCCGAAGGTGGAAGGAGGCAGGTGCTGCCTGCTGGGCTCCGGGGCTCACGGCGGAGGGAGAATGGCCGCAGCCAGACCCAGTGCTTTGCTCCCGGAGGAGCCGACGGCTCCAGAGCCGCCCCCGGAGAAGTGCCCGGTGTAGGGCAGAGCCCCACAGCACTCACCTTCAGCCGCCCGAACTCACAGGCCAGGTCCAGGGGGGTTTTCTTTGCCTTGTTGATGAGGCAGGGGTTGGACTGGTGCTGGAGCAGCATCTCCGACTGCGGGGGAGCAACGTGGCACAGGAGCTCAGCATCATCCCATGCCCCCACCATCCTCCCGCCCAGAACGATGGAGTTTGTCCCCCACCCACGCATCCCCAGAGAGACGTAGGGTGGGCTCGTGGGTGTCTCTGGGCTCTCACTTACCACCTCGTAGTGGCCGTACTGCGCCGAGAGGTGCAGCGGGATCTGCCCGTCCAGCGAGGCCATGTTGACGGAGGCGGCAGCGCGCAGCAACACCCGCACAGGCTCCACGCGTCCCTGCCAGGCTGCATAGTGCAGAGGGCGCATCCCTGCGGGGGAACGGAGCTCAGCAGGGCTGGATGGGGCCCCCGGCCTCGCTCAGAGGGCTGAGCTGGAGGTACGGGGCCATACTGGGGAGCCACCCCTTACCGTTGCTGTCCTTGATGTCGACGGTGGCCTGTGCTTCCAGGAGCAGCGAGATGAGGTCCAGGCTGCCACCCAGGGCTGCGTGGTGCAGCGCCGAGAACCTGCGAAACAAGGCAGGGCTCATCCCAGCCCAGGTCCCTGCCGTGCTGTTCCTACAGCCCCCGCCTGCACTGGGACACGGGCTGAGGGCTGGGATGGTCACCGGCTGTTCATAGCTACATCCCTCCTGATTCTTCACTCCCAGTGCCTCAGTTTCCCCATAGGAAAGCAGAGATAAATCCCTCCACGCTGTCCATGCCCCAGGGCTCTCACCCCCTGAGACCCCAGCAAGAGGCATCCCTCACCCACTTGCCCTGCGTGGGGGCGAGCAGGTGGGACGGAGAGAGATGCATCCCCCCTCTCCGCGGAGCAGCCAGGCAGCCCGTAGCCGCACTGCTCACAGCATCCAGCAAACCCACCAGCCCTGCGGCCAATC